TTAATGTCAATACGTTGAAACGTTGGATTATAAGAGTTTCGTACATTTAGGTAGTTAATGTCAATACGTTGAAACGTTGGATTATAAGAGTTTCGTACATTTAGGTAGTTAATGTCAATACGTTGAAACGTTGGATTATAAGAGTTTCGTACATTTAGGTAGTTAATGTCAATACGTTGAAACGTTGGATTATAAGTGTTTTTACAATTTAGGTAGTTAATGTCAATACGTTGAAACGTTGGATTATAAGAGTTTCGTACATTTAGGTAGTTAATGTCAATACGTTGAACCGTTGGATTATAAGTGTTTTTACATTTAGGTAGTTAATGTCAATAGGTTGAAACGTTGGATTATAAGTGTTTTTACATGTCAATAGGTCTGCTTTATACCTTTCAGTGAATATGTGTTGTCACCTGCACATTCACTCGGATTATAAGGTTATTAAAATTTTGGTTTTTGATTGGTCCGACTGAGACACTACTTACGTTCAATAGAAACCCAATCTGACCAGTTACATATGCTTTACCTCGGTTTAGTTTTATTGTGAACAAAGCAAGGCTTCGTTTCAGAAGCAATAAAGTCAATTTTTGTTTTTTAAGAAGAAACATTTCTAACTTGTTAATTTTCCTCACTAAAAACTATGTTCCTAACAGCACGCAATATGAAATATTTACCTGGGAAATCATAGGACGATAAAATAAAGCATTAACAAACGTGTGAAAACACGTGTGACTAGAAATTGCTGAGAATCAGAGTTTAACCTACATTAATAGGAGAAATAGTCGATATTTTAAGCTCCGGTGACTGAGTGACGTAATGGACATATTAACACATGTTCTTCTCATGGAGAAAACAAAATTAAAAAAACACACACTATTGAATACAGTTTATCTTCGGCCCAGTTAATTACTGCATTTTGAAATTGTTTTAAGAGTGTTAAGATTTGAATAAGTAACTCTTAGAAATCAGTCAAGATTAAATTCGATCAAAATGTATGAAATAACATTCCTCCTAAATAGGAAACATAGAGAAAGATGCTCATTTCTCTGGGTGTATAATATCTACACTTATTACCACTAGAAAGTTTTCGCGGCATACACTAACAAAAAAACAAAAAGTTATGACCTTTATTAATAGATTTTAATCTTGAACTAGCCTTGAGCGAGTTCCGGGAACAATGCTACATAATGAAAAACAAATCCGTCATTTAAAGCTACACACTCCGAATATGGGAAAACCAGTTTATTAGATTCATACAGTGAAAAGCAGTTCATTACGAACTGGTAAAATTTTTAATTTTTACTTATCTTAGCAGCTGGATAGCGGCTCATGGCATGGCTCCGAGATTTTTTTTTTCATGTATATCATTTTAGCTCATAACTCCGTCATCTCTAGACCGATTTGATATCTAATTACAGTTTTAGACTCAAGAGGTCAGACCCTTTCGATTGATGTATTGATGTATTAATTTACTCTAATCCTGCCTAAAAGAATTTCAATTTGATGGTAGAGATCCTGATGAGTATTATAATCGAATAGGATACACGCGTGCCAGGCTTGGTATTGCTGGCGCACAAAACTATAGCTAATTAAAAAGAAAAAAAAAAGGTCACGTAGATTAATTTACTCTGAACCTGCCGCGGCTATTGAGGATTCCCCTCTTGTTTTCTTACATTGCACTTCACTATGTAATATTTAATTAAGTCACATTGAAATTATAGTTTAAAGTAATTGACGGGTTTAACAGTAGATAGCTTATAGATTAAAACTATTTGAAACAATGAATAATTAAACAACCTGAGAGGATAAGATTTTGTTACAACTCAGATTAAGAAAAAAAATATGTTGTTTCGTGAAAAAAACCTTTAAAAAATTGTGATCTGAAAGTAAGCATTTTGTTTTTTCGTTAAACCTAATACCTTCTACAGGGTGGCTTGAAAGTAATAAGAATTTGGCATAATATAAACATTTCTTTTTCAAATCGGTACAGGAATGATGGCAGCCACAGTTCTCAGGATGACTTTAACTATACCAGTATATTATCTGGATGAGACTACTCTCAAGAAACAGTGTTTATCTTTTTTTTATAATTTCCAGACTCCTGTTACTTTCTGGCCAAACTGCGTGATCATTTACTTGTACTGAAAGTATAAATGTCAGAGTTTTAAGATACTTTCATGAAAACACGCATCAAAATACCAACGGCAACACCAATATCAAATATTTCCATTTATTCTATAAATTATAAAAAGTAGAATAACTTTAGTTTCTTTCCTTATATTAAAGCGAAAGTTGAACAGTCACTGCGTGTTTTGTTTACTCCTGCAGCTCATTTTGAAGCCCCGTACACTGAATAACGCATCATTAGTCAAGCACGAAACTGGTCGCCATACTGTACCTGGGCTTTAAAATCTCTAAAATACTTGCATGATCGGTGTGAAGCGCTTTTCCCATTTCCTCGATTGACCCTGGCACTTTTTCTTGGTGTCTTTCTAAACTTCTGGCAGTTATTGATGTTTGTAGAAGTAGTCCGCACCAATCGCGATCGAGAATATTTTTGCGCATGCCCACAAATGATTCCTTTGTTGCGTGTTTTTTTTTATTTTATGATTACATACTTTTCATAAGTTTCTGCCTAAAGAAAGGAACCTTAAAGTAAAGGGGTGGTTGAGTTTCTGTGTAATCAGCAGCAGAGAAACTACATGAGTGCTGAGGTGTTTGGTATACAGTACAGGAAACTAAGTTTAATTTATTCTCACAACGTCAAGTACGCTTTTCATCTTAAATCACAAATCACTAGTTTCAGTAACATTAATACGGGAAATTATGCAATCTAAACTGCGGTGGGTATTGTTGGTTTTGATCTTAACAGTCCTACACGCAAGAGCACAGGACGGTGAAGAAGAAGAAGACAAAGGTAGGTGTTCTTCTGCATATATTGAATAAAATAGTTTTAGTAGCGAAGAGGATTGAAATATACCACAGAAACATTTGTACTTTAGTTTTGTTTATTTTAGAATAATCTATCTACCACTAGAGGTACTGCACGATTTGTGTATTTTTGTCTTTCGGAACCTGCCATTTAAATGATCAATGAACATTTCATGATTTATAAGTGTATATGTTTTATTCACGTTACTTAATTCTTGCACGGATCGTTTGCTCAGAACAGATAAATCAGTCGCACAAAAGATGTACTCAAACAATGGGTTTGACCTCATTTATGTGTGTGTGTGTGTGTGTGTGTATTTATATATATATCGTGCGCAGGTTTTACTCTTCGTATTAAAAAATCATGGTTACTTTTATTTTAACCATTGTTGATTTAACAACTTGGCTGTCATGTGTCCCACCGGTGGGTCACAACCGACTTCTGAATTTTAGTTTATTAGTTATGACTTGTGGACCGCGTGACACACAGGTGAGTCACAGACATTTATGTCTCAAAGCCAAATTTCTCTTCTTGCATATGAGTTTGTGACACTGTGACTGCTCCTAGGCACCTTTTGAATGCTTAATTTTATTCATACTCAATTTATTACGTGGCAGCTGTAACGGATTTGTTATTATATATTTATTTTAATATCAACATTTGTCTAGCTTACGTTTATATTTTAAAACATGCGTACCTTATAGTGTTAAATGTGTATTGCGAAACTCCCACCTATTCTCCAAAGTTGTAGAAGATTCTAGAGAGAAAGAATCAACAATATATGTATATACGTAAACGTGTAAATGTAGCTCAGTATTGTTACGTAAAACTGAAATTTCTAGAACGCCTCACACGGCTATAAATATAACCAACGCGAGGCGACAAAGATTATCTATTATTGATTTGCTATACTTAGTGTGATAAAAACTTCCTAAGCTATAACTATGATTAACGCTTATTAATCGGTAACTTCAGATATATTGACCAAAAACGTTTATAAATTTCGAACAATACAAATCATTCAACTTTTGAGGATTCACATCGTGCATTAATATTTTACGAAAACATTACCTAACGTCATCGGTAGAAACTCAGTCTCTAGTAGGCGTATAAACAGTGAATACTACAGGGATAGCTAGCTTCCCGTGAAGCGAATTGTACCTACATCAGCTCGTAATTAACTCGCTCATCGTGAACCCTCGATAAGATATCGAAGAAGTTCCAGACTAGAAAGAAGACTTTATATTGCTTGTAACTTTGTGAAACTTTTGTTTATAAATCATTGTTTGTAATAACTATTTCTAATAACTGTTATTGTAAATTGTATTTTTGTGTACATATTAAAACGTATTTGTGTAAAAGAAAACTGTGTGTATCAAACTTGTTGGCAAATATCATAAACTGACTATATATCGGCTTTTACTTGACTACTAAATCCAAAGTATAATTTAACTACTAAAGTTAAATTTATAAGTTAACTCAAGTTCAGGCCATTTGAAATGTTAATACGTAACACTGCTAACATGTTAAAAACTTGGTATGCGCAGATTAAACCACAGCGGTATGATACTATTAGTATTACTTTAACTTGTGCGAATTGTAAGGTATAAAAATCAGTAAGAACCATTTCACTTAGGTTACCAGCTCAGATCAGTACGATTTTGATTAAAACTTATATTGTTACTTTATTTAACTTAGTGAAAGCTCTACAACCTCATTAATCCACTTCCCTTCATATAATACAAGATATTCCTCCATTCCTCCTTTAAATACAGAACTTGCTAGCTTCTGTATCACGTAATTGCTGGGTATATCGATAGATGTCGCCAGTATTTAGATTTGTTTTTATACGAAGTTACACAATGAGCTAGCTATCTCTAGCAAAAAAGAAAAAAAAAGGACTACTCAACAGAAAAAAAATTACATTGTTCTCTAAGAGTCCTAAATCTTGAGCTCCTTACTATAGCAAAGTTTGTTTTTAAAAAATGCGTTAAAAATTTGAGCTGAAATATTCCAATACATAAGCAATCGAAAGTATGAAGAAAAGATAAACATCAGTCTGTGGATAATATTTCTCTTTTCAAAACTCACATGGCTATCAATAGAACTGAAACACAATTATATAGTTGTTTTTTTTCCTTCAAAAACCGGTCGTCTAATCCTGAATGGTACTTAGAAGTCACAAGCAAAGAAATTATTTTGACCTTCACAATTTGTCATTTAAACGATCTATGAAAGTTTCACGTATATGGTTTTTGCATGAAATCTAACTCTTGCACGGATCGTTTGTAAAGAACAAAGAATAAAACAGTCCTACAGAAGATGTGCTTACTAAGTGGGATTTACCTTGTCCCTGTACTTTTGGATCCTGGGATTTACCTTGTCCCCGAAGTTCGGGATCCAGACTAGACAATCTTACATGTGCGAGTGAAATACGATGTTTTTTCTTTAGGAATTTAATTATATTGTCCTTATTATTACTACTACCTGTTTTAGTAGTGAAGTCATAGCATTGAGCCTGCGAATGCAACAAAATCAGAATATCTTGTGTAAGAATAATGTTTTTTTAGGTACTTGGAGATTTATGTTGATATCCTGGCTAAGGAATTTTACTACTATCATTACTCAAAAAAATAAAAATAACAAATTTTCATAACAAACCTATCTTAGTTGTAACTACTTACTGTCATAAAATCAATTTAATTATATGTAAAGAAAGAAAAGACCAAATTAACATTGAATATTTCACTTGATAGTCAATCCCACTATTCGTTGGTAAAAGAGTAGCCCAAGAGTTGGTGGTGGGTGGTGATGACTAGCTGCCTTCCCTCTAGTCTTACACTGCTAAATTAGGGACGGCTAGCACAAATAGCCCTCGTGTAGCTTTACGCGAAATCCGTAACAAACCTTAGATAAATATATTATTCTTAAGTCAAGGTTCAAAGATACTTTTCAAGTCACAGAGTCAGCTAGATTAATGACAAAGAAAACAACTTAAACATAATATGCCTATAGGAAAGTTTCCTGTCTGCCATGCCGTAATTAAGCCGTTAACGTTGATTTTATACTGTATCGTATAGTTGATTGACAAATTTCACATGCTGATATGCTACACCAAATTCCCAATTTGATGTTAGAAATACTTATAAAATGAAAAAAACTTGTTTTTTATGTTGTTCTTTATTTCGTATAATGCTAAATGTGTGGATTAGAGAATAATGCACATAAAAAGTGAGTACAAAATACTTCCATTACCTAGAAAAATTAAAGGAACCAAAACTTTTTAACACTGCTTTCACAGCACCTTTATGTCTTAAAATGTGATGAATACCTTGTACTTGAATTGGATGAAGACTAACTTTGAAAAGGCTATCTCTTGTTTGCAATAAGGTGTTGTTTATTATTAAGCACAAAGCTACACAAAGGGCTATTTGTATTGTGCCCACCACAGATATCGAAACATGCCGCTGTGCCACTGAGGGGCCTAGTGTTTTATGACATGAAAATTAAAAAAAAAAACTGCTTGTCATTTAAAGGATTTAGTTACCTTTTACCTCATGTAGTATAGGGAGTATTCTTAATAAACAAATGGAATTTCATAAAGTGCGTTTGAAAATGTTATAACGTTAATAGAATTAATTATAGTAATTAAATCTGTTATTTATATTATCAGTAACCAGGAAGAGTAGTCTTATGTTGGAGGTTATAATTGTTAATAAATATCCGCTTAAAATAGAGTATTCGGCCTCTAAGATTTTATTTAGTGTTTCCTTTCTCGTTCCCATGTGATTCTTTTGGTTTCTGGGTCAGTTTTACTGGTATTATTAGCTAGAGATTAAACTCCAAATCTAGTCTTGTTTCTCCAAGTTTCGATATCACCCATAGAAATACTTCCAAAAAAGGTTAAACTTAAACAAATTTTGCACTTTCCTAGTTCTATCTCGCGAAAATATAGAGTTTACTCAAAAAATTATTTTGTTTATTATGTATCATCGGTAAATGAAATATTATTTTAAAGCTAATTTTACAGTTAGCGCCATTGTTAAATTCGAGAAAGCTGTTAAATTTTGTGTTATTGTTTTTATAGGGACTAATCTTGAATCATACACCACTGTTGAATTAGAAAATAAATTATTCAAGCTGTCACTTTATCGTTGGGTCATATTATTTTATAAAACTGACGGCTAAAATTAGTTTAAAACTCCCGAGCTGAGTATAAACATTGGGCACATATGCGCTATACTGGCGCGGTAACTATCCAATATTAAGGAAGGTTTTCTGTGTCTGTGGACGCATCTCCTTCTAAACGAGTTGATCGAACCAGACCAAACTTTGCATGTTAACTTAGTAGTCTAAAAACAAACAAATTCATATTAAACTTTCCCATATATTGAAAAATAAAAATATTTTATAGAGTGATCTTATATCGTTACTGTAGTAGCTGAATCTTAGTTTCTTCATGAATACTCTGCCTAAACGATCTATCAAATAATACTGTAGTTGCTATTGTAAATAGTTGAGTTTGAACAAAACTCCCATCACAACAAAATTCAACAAGTCAAAAATTGTAAATAGAATTTTCCGCATTTTGGCTTGTTTCCCATGATCACCAAAATATACAGTAATAAAATATCCAGATAAATGCGGAGATTAAATATATTTTTGCTGTTCAAGTTCCCGCTCTTTTTTTATATCACTCTTCTAGTATATACTAAGGTTAGAATAAGCGCTTAAGCCTGAAATAGAGAAGTATTTCATAATGAAATAATTTTTAGGATATTTCTTACTTCTTAATGTAGAATATATTTTTCAGAAGAAGCAAAATTCAAGGTTATTATTAGATTTAATGTATTAAATGTACCAAATGTAGATGGTAGAAATATTGACCATATCTCTACTTTGAAATGGGTTGCTTTGAACAAGAACTGACGCAACTAATTTGCTATTTCTACCAAGTTTCTCGTCTTGATTGCTACACCTCTTCA